CACCCTCTTCATGTTGAGAATCTGTTTGCTAGTGACTGTTTTTGCTGAGTAACTATCCATTCTCAGTAGTAAGTATTGCTTCTACACTGCTCAGGTGGTTTCTGTTGCAGCTAGCTGAAACTAAAGGATATACCTGCAAAATATATCCTCCCCAGTCTCATCCCTCCCTGGATTGTATTTGAAATGAAATACTCCCGTTTTGTAAATACTGTGTATATGCATTTTTTTTTCTTAAACCTAATAAAATAAAAGTTTAGAAATAAGTCTTGTTTGTCTTGAGTTATTGAAGTGACATTTTACACTTATACTTAATCATAATATAAAAATTGATGCTGAAGATTGAGATTGTATCAAACCCAGAAGACTACTCACACTGAACATTGACAAAAAGGCATTTATTGAAGAAAAACTATGATCAGAACTGAGAGACAGCAATGACGAGTACTGCAGCAATGGACAATCAATCATATTACAGGGACAGTTCAGTGAGTTGATAGATTGACATTCATCACATTCAAAGTCCTGATTTTTTTCTCAACTCATCTGAAATTCCTGCTTTCACATCACTTGACCATCAACATGATTGCACTGTTTCTAGGGATTGGCACTGAACTTTATTCAAGGAACAATATTAAATGTCAAAATAATATGACAGAAAAGAGACTAAAGAATAGCTCACTATGACCAGAGAGCAGTTTTAAAAGGCATGCAAAGATGGAAGCAAAATAATGAAGAGGAAATTGAGTAGGCTAAAAGCTACAGGGTAAAGAAGCAACAAGCACTGTTAAAGCTACAAGCCACAGAATAGCGATATAAATCCTAATTAGCATGTATTATAGAGAACTACAGATAGGTGGACAGGAAGTTCTACAAGATACACTACTGAAGAGAAGTTCAAAATAAGTTATAGGAAGAGAAAAGGACTAGTTTGTAAAAGCACACGGGAATAAAAGGTGACAGACTTGAAAGCAAGATTTGAAAAAAGACATGGAAGGGTCAATATAAATAGAGAAGAAGAGGTACACGAGAAAAGAGAGCCGACTTCAGAGAAAAATGAAAGCTATGGGCATAGAACATGACAGAGAAAAAGGAGAGGAGATGGAAGATGCTGACTAGACTACTAAAAGATGAAAGCAGTTTTTCAGAGCTCAGCAGAAGACCTAAAGAGGGACGGAGAGGAGCAGAGGGAAAGAAGAGGACCTAAAGAGGGACAGAGAGGAGCAGAGGGAAAGAAGAGGACCTAAAGAGGGACAGAGAGGAGCAGAGGGAAAGAGGAGGACCTAAAGAGGGACAGAGAGGAGCAGAGGGAAAGAGGAGGACCTAAAGAGGGACAGAGAGGAGCATAGGGAAAGAGGAGGACCTAAAGAGAAGCAGAGGGAAAGAAGAGGACCTAAAGAGGGATGGAGAGGAGCAGAGGGAAAGAAGAGGACCTAAAGAGGGACGGAGAGGAGCAGAGGGAAAGAAGAGGACCTAAAGAAGGACAGAGATGAGCAGAGGGAAAGAGGAGGACCTAAAGAGGGACAGAGAGGAGCAGAGGGAAAGGTAGGTAGCTTAGTGGTTAAGAGCGTTGTGCCAGTAACTGAAAGGTCGCTGGTTCTAATCCCCAAGCCGACTAGGTGAAAAATCTGTCGATGTGCCCTTGAGCAAGGCACTTAGCCCTAATTGCTCCTGTAAGTCGCTCTGGATAAGAGCGTCTGCTAAATGACTAAAAATGGAAATGGAAAGAGGAGGACCTAAAGAGGGACAGAGAGGAGCTAAAGAGGGGCAGAGAGGAGGAAATATATTTACAAAAAATAGAAGAAATAGACAGCACAGTAGAGTGAAGGAAAGCAATGAGCTGAGAAATAAAGGAAGATGGTAAGAACATTTAGAATTTTTTTAAATAGGAGAGATAAATAAATGACAGAAAACAGAAAAATTATAAATAGGAAATTAGTTATAGCTTAAAGCTAACAGAAAGATAGAACTCACAAGTCAGGTAAAAGAATCAGAAGGTTGTAATGTTAGTATTCTGAAAGAGTTTATATTAATAGAGAAAGTAAATACCAAAGCATAGAGTGAAGCAGAATTACAGAAATGATCAAAGCCAAGAAAAGTAAAAGTAGCATAGCTAGATGACTACAAGACAGCTAAGAGGACAGTGTGTAAAAAGCAAAAGGAGAATTTAGCAAGAAAGAGGAAATCTGAAATGAAGAGAAAAGAACTGCAGAAAATCAGTAGCAGAGGAAAAGCGCAATAAAATTCAGAAACCGAAGATGGGAAAAGAAAAAGCAATATTGAGTAAATAGAAGACAGCAAGAGGAAAGATGAAGCTAGGAAAAGGAAAATAAGGCAGAAAGGCTGTTGGGAAAATAGAGAAGAGGACAGCAGAAGTAAGACGCCAGGAAGGAAACATTACAGTGAAAGAATATAGGACATGTACAATTTAGAGAAAGACATGATGACATACAGAGTCAAGATGGTGAGGAAATTATTTGAAAGTGTCAAGGCAGAGAAAGAAAGTTTAGAAAATGAAGACAATAGCATCAGGCAAGAAGAGGACAGGAAAATGTTAAGAAAGACAGAAAGGGTGAAGAAAGACAGAAAGGGTGAAGAAATACAGAAAATGTGAAGAAATACAGAAAGGGTGAAGAAAGACAGAAAGGGTGAAGAAATACAGAAAAGGTGAAGAAATACAGAAAGGGTGAAGAAAGACAGAAAGTGTGAAGAAAGACACAAAAGGTGAAGAAAGACAGCCATAAGATAAATACAGAAAAGGTGAAACGGATAAAGAGTGAAGAAACATGAGAAAAAGTTTAGCTAAATAAGTTAAAAATTGCTATTAGATTGAAAGAAGGGGACATTATAGATCTGATAGCCATGCATAAAGAAAATAGAAAAAGAACGACGTGTAAGCAGAGGAGTTTGAAAGAGAGAGAGCGAGTGTAATGTTTACTGTTCATTTGTTTATTATCTATTTCACTTGCTTTGGCAATGTAAACATATGTTTCCCATGCCAATAAAGCCCCTTAAATTGAAATTGAATTGAGAGAGAGAAAGAGAATGAGAGAGAGCGAGAGAGCGAAAGAGAGAGAGAGAGTAGAAGTAAAATGGTAGAGCAGCTATTTGAAGAGGTGCTTGATATGTCTCTTTTTCCATATTATACATTGTTACTACGTGTAACAAATACCCTGATGAAGGCATCACAGTCAAACCGTTGTTGAAATTGAATAATGAAATGAATCAGTAAACAAAGCAGTAAAGAAAGAGAGGGGAAAACATACAAAAACTAAAGATAAACTTTGCATAAAAAGAGGTACAGCCCATAGGTTGAAACACACAATAAGACCACACAGTAAAGCAAGGCAGGCACAGGGCTGGGTGTCTAGGTCCTATACTGCAGCATCCCTAGAACCAAGCATACAACATTTGAGATACTAAACTCAAATATGAAGTTACATGCGCTGATCTTAAGTTAGGATTCAGTCCATACAGTACAAAGGTACTAAACCAGAAACAGTTGCATAAACATATGCAGACAGTCATTTCTGTAGTGCACTCACAACCTTCTTGCACTGGTATCAGTCAGCCTCAAAGCTTACAGTTATAGTAGAGAAAAGGAACACAGCATATATGTTTGAGCAGAAGAAGGAAGGACTGCAAAAAGAGGCATTGAAAAAGAGAAATGAAAATGACAGGAATCAAAGAGAGGAGAGGAAAGGGAAACAGAAACAATGTTTTATTGAGAGGTCAACAGTCAATCTAGAGGACAGGATAGAGAAGGAGAGATGGAACCATAGAATTACAACTCATCTGATTCTTTCTATGGATGGAACACAGATTCTCAAACAGAATGGAGAGATGCAGGCGAGAGAACAGGAAGAGGAAACCGGACACTACATCATAGAGTTTAACAGGACAGAGGAAATAAGGGAAAGCACCATAGAGGTTACAGGCTCGTCAGGCAGAGCGAAATAAAACCCAGAATGAGGCTGCCATAGAAAAATGATCGAGTGGGTTAGGGAAGTTTGACGAATAGCTAGTATTTAACATTGAGCATTATGCAAAGCAGAAAGATAGAAGCTCAACAATGAAAAATATAAAGAAATGTTTTGTTACAGTTCATTTGTTGACAGAGAAGTAATGGCTACAGAATGCTCTTTTGACAAGTGAAAAATGTTTAGAATCAGAGGTAGATTGTTAGGAAAACAAAAACAAACGTACATTTTATGCAAATTATAGTTTTAGGGATCTAGAAGCATTTAAAAAAAGATGACTGCACATTAACAATACCAGTACCATTGCTGTCTCTCATAGCTTGTGCTTTGTTAATTGAGTATTGATGTCGTCACATACTCCCACACACACATACACACATACACACACTTCAACGTCCTCAAACAGTGCGCTACATCATTGACAAAACCAGTGTCATCAAAAATCAGTAATTTAACTGTATAAAATGTAATTGTACTCTACAATTTCATTCTTGAAAAGTCGAAAGCTCAGACGTTGAAAAAAACTTTTTTACAAACGTCACCATGAAGAGAAACCAGTATTGTTGTGCCACTTGAGTTGCAGTATTGTACCATGAAGTCCAGCCAATGAAAAATAATATGGCTCACATTCAACTCTCTCTGTTAGAATAGTGAAAGAGTAGCTTATAAAGCAGGTACGGAGGCAGAAATCTTTACATTCTTAAACCCTGGAACAAATTAGTGGCACAAACAATACAAATTAAGTGTAAAATAAAGGTTTTAAATAACTGTCTATAAATTAGATCAGGCTCTTTATCCTATATATATTCTCCGATAGAATAAATAGTGAATAGCTACTACAGTATTTACACGTTCAGTCGGTTGGATTTTACAGTCTCCCAAGGGAGGAAGGGGGTCAGACAGGAAGTGACACAGAGCTCAGTGATATCATAACCTGTCCTGCATTGTTGTCCTGGGACTGGCCATTCCCGGACGAGGTGGCGGGGTCACAGAGCGGCTTCCAGGCTACCATTGGGCAGCTCAGTAAGGGGTGAAGCGGTTGTATCCTCCTCTGTACAGACTGGCCTAGAAATAAGTAGAAGATATGATAAATGATGGTGGATCGGTGCCCACTGGCGGGATGAGGCTGATTCCTTTTTGAGGCTCAATTAAAGTCTGGCTCGTGGCTAGAAACAATGGTCTGGATGACTTAGTGGGTCACATGAACACTTTAAAAGTTGGAGTGGTACTGCTTATGAGTTTTAAAGAGGCTCACCATTGTTCCGACTCCGTATGCTGTCGAGGGTCCCACTGAATGGTGGTAGGGATCCGTTGCAGCAGCATAAACTCGGCCATATCTGATGGACAGACAAAACAAAACCCAAATGAGAAAACATACTAAACCAGCCTGGTCCCATAGACTAGACGTTACATGGTTAACAAAAATCAGGGAAACTCAAAATAGTATGATATGTTAACTTTGGTATGGTTACATAAGACAGCAGGATACTTAAGGCAAAAACAAAAGGAGGGTGGGCGGTTCGGAGTGGATGGATGGGCGTATTACGCAAACGTCATGTTCGAATTTCATCACGGACAACATTTTAGCTAGAAACGTTGCAACTACTTACTACTTTTTAGCTACTTTGCAACTACTTAGCATGTTAGCTAATCCTTCCCCTAACCCTTTAACCCAGGGTTCTTCAATTCCGGTCCTGGAGGGCCGAAACACCTCTGTTTTTCATCCTCTCCTTCTAATCAGGGGCTAATTCAGACCTGGGACACCAGTTGAGTGCAATTAACTACCAGGTAGAAATAAAAAACAGAAGTGTTTTGGCCCTCCAGGACCGGAATTGAAGAACCCTGCTTTAACCTAACTCCTAAACCCTAACCTTAACCCTAACCTTAAACCCTACCCAATGTTAGCCACAACAAATTTGAATTTGTAACATATCATATGTATTGCGAATTTGTAACATATTGAACGAATTGTTGTAATTCGTAACATATCATACGAATTGTAATTCGTCACATATCATATGAAATGGATGATGGACGTCCACTAATTAATGCATACCATACCAAATGTAACATATCATACTAATTTGAGTGTCCTGGATTTTGGCTTACTATGTTAGTCCAGGTTACTAAAGGTGTGCTAGTACTGTGTTAGAACAAACAGTGAGGCCCTATAGAACAGACTTGAAGACCACAGAACCTCAGCATCAGAGTGCTGCTTATCTCATGTTCTAAGTCCCATTTGAAGGAAAAAGTCCTTCAAATCCTCATACAAACGGAGTCACATTGTCAGTCATTGGGCACTGCTGCTCACCCATCACTGTATGTTGCTGTGGCAGCGGATGCTGATTGGGCGACTCTGTACGCTGCAGGATACCCGCCCTGATAGGAAAAAAGATATTCAGAGACAAGATAAGCTTTTAGCTAAACACAAGTTAGACAGCCTGAAATTAAGATGAAATCAGAAGAAAAACGTCCACTTACATAGACTTCAGCTCCATATAATCCATCTTGGTACACCACACTGAAAGGAGACATTCTATCATTCACACATTAAAAAGTGAAAATTAAAGCATTTACTTACACTTACAATGGAAATTGTTATTAATTATTCAAATAGATTTTTTGAAGATAGAAATGATCTTACCCAGGGTAGGCGGGCATGGCAGTGGGTGTGGCTGCAGCAGCTGAGCGAATTGTGTTGTAGACAGCCCGGCCCCGCCCACGCAGCGGTGAGCCCCGATAGGCCAGGGTGGGAGTAGCTACGGGGTAGGGGAAACTGGCAACTGAGGAGGGAGAGAAAGAGAGAGAGCTTACAGTACCCACTAGGATATGTACTGTAGCGACCCTACCTTCATAAGCATGTTTATTGACTCCCCCAAGGGAGCATGCTTTCTTAGAGCCATCTATAAGAGAGATTGAGTATCACAGGTGGGTTCTGAACCCGGGTCTCCCACTCTGGAAACCCATGTCTTAACCATTAGACCAAAAGGTTATATTTCCTCCCCTACAAGAGGTCATGAATTCTGATTGTGTTTGATAGGGATACAGTACATACTAGGACATATATTAGAAGGACAAACAAATATTGAAATAATCAAACTCACCCGAAAACTCACATTGAAACTCACCGGTGTAGAGTTCAGGTGCATACATCGCTCCCATGACAGGGTTGATCTTCCATCCAGGGGCTACGAAGAGAGAGAAAGAGAGAAAGAGAGAGAGAGCGAGAGAGAGAGAGAAGGAGAGAAGGATAGAAGGAGAGAGAGCGCGAGAACGAGAGAGAAGGAGAGAGAGCGAGAGAGATGAGAGAAAGAGAAAAAGAGAGAAGGAGAGAGAGAGAGAAAGAGAGAGGAGGAGGGAGAAGTTGAGAGAAAGAGAGAGAGAGAGAGTGAGAGAAAGAGAGAGAAGGAGGGAGAAGTTGAGAGAAAGAGAGAGAGAGGTTAAACAACAAGTAAAGGAGAAAAGAGACGGTGGAGGTCATGAAGAGTAAAGGGAACACACAGACACAGTTCAGAAGTACAGAGTGCATGTCCAACCCCTCCCACAGGCCATGGAAAGGTGTCCAAATAACTTTAGGTATCTTACTTGAAACCTCACCATTCACAAGAGGTGTTTGGGGCTTCTTGGTGACTATTCTGGCTGTAGCATTGTTCACCTGCACAGACAGAGAGGACCATTTCTTAGATAGACTGACTGACTGACAGACAGACAGACAGACAGACAGACAGACAGACAGACAGACAGACAACAGACAGATAGATCGATAGATATTCAAGATAGACATACTATAGATAGTTATTCCTCACCTCAACCTTCCTCCCCTCAACGATCGTTCCGTTCAGTTTTTCCCTCGCTCGGTCTGCTTCCATTGCGCTCTCAAAGGTCACAAACCCAAAGCCCTGAGAGACGGAAGGAGAAACATTTCTGATCGTCCAACTTGTCATTGTCTTAGTAAGGCAACAACAATAGGGCAACCAGGTTTCATTCATTCAGTTTGTAATTTCTGATATTGAGTGGTCTCTCACCTTTGACCCTCTCTCATTAAAGATAATCTCCACATCCAGGATCTTGCCAAATTGCTGAAAGACAAAAACAGATCATAATCTTGTCCATAGGTTTTCACAGAGGTTATAAGAGATTACATAATGTCTCGTAGGATGACATCATGTCTCGTAGGATAATCAACCCTGACATAACCACTAGTTGTGTCTCTCACCCCAAACATCTGTCTGAGGTCTGGGTCTCTGAAGCGGAAGGGGATGTTGGAGACGTGGAGGCGTTTGGGCTGAGCCTTGCCTGACCCCTCCTCGTCGCTACCACTTCCTGTTCCGCCCCCTGATGACACTGACACGCTCAGAGCCTGGGAGTCAGAGGTCACCGGAACCAGGGCATCGTCCTGGGAGATAGAAGAGGAGGAGGAGAGGAAGAGAGGAAGAAGAAGAGGAGGAAAATGAAGAATAGAGGAGATGAGGAGTAAAGAAAGGAAGTGAAGGAAGGGGAAAGGAAGGAAAGGAGCGAAGGAAGAAGAGGAGGAAGAGAATAGACAGAGGAAGAGCAGAAGAAGAAGAAAAAGAAGGAGAAAAGGGTGGGGAGCAGGAGGAGGATAGAAGGACAGAGAGCAGGAGAAGGATATAGAAAAGGTTTCAAGGGAAAGGTAGAGAAAGAAGGGGGGAGATTACAGAGGAAAATAAGGACATGTTGCCAATTGGTCCATGCACTTGTACACCTCTGAATAAACAACTAATTTACAATGTATTAAAAGGATTCTGAGATAAAGCAGTTTTTTTCTTCAAATCTATCAAAACAGTTCACAAGTTCTGGTACAGTGTCCAATTACAGAGGCATCACATTGCATTAGAAAAATGTCGATCATTTTAATTGAATCAAGTGATCACAACTCAGTCCAAATAAGCATTCAGCACCCAGTGATCCTTTTCAGGCAGGAGTGTGGAGGTGTGAACAGTACCTCATTTTAGTAGGGCGTTTAAATACATGCCCGTTAGAAAATATCAAAAGATATGTACACCAGAGGAGGCTGGTGGGAGGAGCTATAGAAGGATGGGCTCAATGTAATGGCTGTAAAGTTGTTTCCATGTGTTTGATGTGTTTGGTACCATTCCTTCGATTCCATTCCAGCTATTACAATGAGCCCTTCCTCCTATAGCTCCGGGCACCAGCCTCCTCTGAGGTACACTAATAAAATATTAGACTACATAGTCATGTTGATTCAGTTATAACAACCAGCAAATATAGAAAGTAACAGCTCCCCCAACAGAAAGACTTTGGAGGAACTGTAACTAAATACAATATATCATACTGAACATAATTGTGATGAATTATACTTATTAATTCATAATAACTAGGTAGTTCAGGTGACATAGATTATATAGACACGTAAACAGTAAGCCTGCAGGAATACATTTTCATGATATAATCTCATTAAAATGCCCCCATGCAAAACCATACAGGATATAGTAATGTGCTTAAAAACCAAAACATTCACTATCCCACAATGCACCACGATGCCAGTGTCTGTGTGTTGGTCCTCCAAAAACCAAGGGATTATATGAGTCCAAACCAGAAAATTAAGATAAAAAAATATTGCACCAAAAAATGAGTGAGCGAGAGCAGTGGGGGAGAGAGGAGCGAGGGAGCAGAGTGCAATGTGAAAGAAAATAAAAATACAGCAAAGGAAAAAATAGCAAAAGTGAAAAATATCTTTCAATTGAAAATCTAAGTGAATGCAGGCTTGAAAGAAGTCAGATAAATATTAATGCAATTCAAAATACAGATCCTAATATGCAGAACTAAAAACACAGGTATTATTAGCATTATAATATAGGAAGGCTGATAGAAAGAGATAGAGAGTGCACAATGTCTTCAGAGCAACGATAAAGAATAAATTAAACAAAAAGATAAAGTGAACAAGGCAGGAACTTGCACAAAAAGCTTGGGTTGGGGTGAGGAGTGGGAGCTGGGAGGCATAGTGCCGGGCAGGGTCAAAGTTGAATGTTCTAAATGTCAGTTTAGGGTCACGGTGCTGCTTTTTTCTGCCAAAGGTTAAAGATCATTACTCAAGATTCCAAGGGGGCATGTATTAATAAGTGGGGTAGAAACAGAGGGAGGGGGATAGAGAGACACATTCACGCGGAGAGAGAGAGAGAGAGAGAGAGAGAGAGAGAGAGAGAGAGAGAGAGAGAGAGAGAGAGAGAGAGAGGAGAGAGAAAGAAAAAGACAGAGAGAGAGAGAGCTTCACACAAACACATACAGTACATACTGTACAGAATACTGCTGTGTTGTTATATACTGGCTTCCCATGGCAACCATAGTTAGGACAGCATGGTTCACACACACACCATCAGAGTCCCATCCACACACACACACACCAGAAACAGGCTTTGGGGAAGTGGGACAGTGGAGAGGGGGGGGGGGGGAGTGGAAGAAAGGGGTGGGTGGGTTGGGTTGGATGTTGGTGTCATGTCACGATGCAAAATTGATTTCTGAACCTGGCCGATATTTCGGGGGGGGGGGTCACCAGGTCGGCCTCCCCCGTTGACCCCACCTCCATGATGTGTGGCGGCGTCTCAACTTTCCCACGAAAATCAGGATGGACCTTGTAAGTCAGGGGCTCTAGTGATGGAATATATAAACGTGGCCATAAAAGTCAGTTATGACATGAGAAAGAGCTGCTGAGGCAGGGAAAAGGACTTCACAGTCACAATGCATTGACCTTTATTCACCATTCACCTCTGTCTGTGTCTAGAGTAATGACCTACAGTAAATGAAGCCTACCAGGACACTGGACATAAACATACAGTACATGTACATGTTTTCCTCATTATAAGTTCATTAAACTGGCCATTGTTCCTAATGAAAATACACAAGTTCCCCATCAAATACATGTCATTTTGTGCTGTAGGCTATATGAAAATAAATACTAGGACATTTTACATTGAACCCTGATAACTATGCCATAACATATACCAAAATACATTTCAATTATAATCCTACATTGAAATACTGTGTTGTTCCATTCTCCTGTGTTGTTAACTTTTCCTTTCTCAACTTTCTTTACCCCAACCCCCTACCAGTAACCTGATGCATGATCTTACACAGACATACTGCATGTTAACAACTTTGGGATTACCTGCTCTATTTCCAGATAAATGGGAGAGGGGAACGAGAGAAGCAAAGAGAGAGAGAGATGGAGGGGATTCACTTTCAAAAACGAATCCCCTCTCAGCTGCCCCTATCTGCTCTGCTGGGTGTCAGGGGAGATTCCCCTACATGGGCACAGGAGTGGAGGTGGGGAGCTAAACATAGAAGTACTATGGTAACTCTGTGTGTGTGTGTGTGTGTGTGTGTGTGTGTGTGTGTGTGTGTGTGTGTGTGTGTGTGTGTGTGTGTGTGTGTGTGTGTGTGTGTGTGTGTGTGTGTGTGTGTGTGTGTGTGTGTGTGTGTGTGTGTGCGTGCGTGCGTGTGTGCGTGCGTGCGTGTGTGTGTGTGTGTGTGTGTGTGTTTGTGTGTGTGTGTGTGTGTGTGTGTGTTCCATGTTACTAACAAAGAATTTCCTCAAACTTTGTATGACATGTTGTCGTTGATTAGAATAAAATCCCCTCCTAGAAATATGTTACAAACAACATGTGATTCCCCCCTATACACATACAGTATCTACATATCTTGATTAAAAGGTATCTCTGTCTCTCTATCTTTCCTGGACACTACTTCTATAGTCACACACCTCCAGTCTATTATGTTGTTCTTACCGTGCTATTGGCTGCCAGAGTGTCAGCCCCTTCGTGTTGTGGGCCCTGATAGACTCTGAGCTGGTGATGCTCCTGGTACTCTGAGTTGGGGTGGGCGGGACTATAGTCTAGAGGAGGAAGTCTGCCTGCAGGTGTGGGAGGCCCTTGTCCTGGTGGAGGGTATGAGGGAGGCTGGGCATAGACCTGGGGGAGGGTGGGGTCACCACTGCCGGCCTCCTGGCCCGGGCCTCCCTGTGATTGGATGAGAGAAGGGAATTGGTCAATAATCAATCAAAATAACATTGTCATAGTATCTATCCAACCTAGCTGTAGGATAAACCATATTAAAATTATAATAGTGGGTGTGACACTTGTTATAAGAAACAAATTATTCATTAATTACATTAAAATAGACCATTTTGATTCACAGCATACATTCATTGACAATGTGTGAGTGAATCATGTAAGCACAAAGACCTCAGGCTTCATAGAAGTCCTTTTCTCTGAGTCTTTGAGTGTAAAATATCACCTGGGAAATGTCTTATGGTTGAGTGGGGCTGGGCAGCTTAGATTTGCACAGCTGGTACAAAACTAGAGGCCCTTAAGAAAGATCCACACTACAATCCCATACCTACAGTACAGCTCATTGTGATGCGTATACTATTCCTTTTGAGGATTCATTCACGATTCAGCATCCTTTGAAAAAGAGTATCTGGCAAATATTCAATACTTTACCACTTATGCCAAAGCAGTGCACCTACAAATGTAATGTAATGAAAAAACAACTCAGCACGGAATTGATTCCAGACTAATACCTTCAACGTCATCATAATCATCTAATCAATGTACCAAATCCATTCCAATCCATTGATTATTCAATGTACCAAAACCAACAGCAAGTAAGCAGAGAGTTCACACAGTGAAGTGACCAATTATCACACAATGAAAAGTGATGGTGGTGACACAGACACACAATAGGAGAATATATGATTATCTTACCCCGTCACTGCATATCTGATGCTCTGGTACATTGTCCAACAACTGCCACATGTTTTAATGCCAGCTTCCACCCGCCCACTACACCATAAGTTCTACTCAACCACCAATCACATCACAGGAGTGCTGGGGGAAGGGGGAGCAGGGGGGGGCTATGCCAGCTGTGGTCATTTGTACCTGTCAATCACTTTTAACCCCTCCTTCCCCTCCTCACGGAAACACACACTAAAAACGTAAGGAGAGCTACCCACAAATCAGGAATTTCTACATTTAAAAGCTAATACTGTAGCCGTATTTCAACTTGCCCACTAAAAGGTCACCTCTAAGAATACTATCCTTATTAATACCCTGTTATTGCCGACATATTGCCTTGTAGACATTCCTATGCCTTGTAAATATTCATATCATTCCAATACCTTCTTTTTGACCAGACTCTTCGAAGAGACAAAAACAGGTGGGCAACATTTGAGTAGTTTTATATCGTTCACATTATAACACAGTAATAAACCCTTATATCTCTACTCTGAAACCGACCAGAGGTCAACCAGAAGATCGGCAAAGCCATTAGTAGATTTTTGTGTTGTCCTTTACAGTTGTAAACATAGTTAGTGTCACAAGGTCTAAAGGCCTATATATCAGACTGGCTGTAATTTAATACAGATTCATGTTGTTCTCTCCAACCTCTTCTCCTCCTCCCACCTCTCTCGCTATCTGTCCATCAGCTGTTGCACTCATCGGATGGGGGGAGATAGGACTGATTGTGAAATTGAAGAGGGCGAAGTGGAGGGAAGGTGTCATTTAAACCTTGTATGATAAGCTGATTCTGATATGTAACCCAAGGAGAGTGTCCTACATTCTCATAGGTCTAATAAAACAGTGTGTCTACTGCAGGTAAAACAGCAGCATCAAAGATCTTACTATACTAAGATATGAACTAACACTCGCACTTGTCTTTTCCTGCTAGCACTGACTTTGCTGATAACTTCATTTATTGAAGAAAAATGTAGTTGCTATGATTGTGATATGTGGTTGTCCCACTTAGCTATTTTAAGATTAATGCAGTCGCTCTGGATAAGAGCATCTGCTAAATTACTGAAATGTAAATGTAATGTAAAATGTAAGATATACTATCTTAGTTCACTATAAGTGGAACAGGAACACCTTGTCTGTGTAGGTCTCAGATTCTTCCTATCAAACACTTTCAGTACAAAGGACACGATTTCTCTTCACAGACCACACGTGTTCCTCCTTTACCTCTGAATTCTTAATTTATAAGTTCCACTGGGAGATGGTCAGGAGTGAGACTGATAACATCTTGAATGTATTAGGTCTCTAGAATAGATTTACAGACATATCATTTACAAGGTTTGTCATTTAGCAGATAATCTTATATATTGCTTTCAAATGGGCCGAAACAACAACCATATCAAAAAACATCATAGTAAAACCTTAAAATATAAAATGGTATTTACATGTACTACTCTGCATCCGGTCTGCTAATATTGGAAGGCATGGGTGTTGTATATTTGGGTTTATTCCAGGGTTGGCGCATAATAATTCAGCAAACTGTCCTTTTAGCTTTCACATGGCAGGTCCTGGCGATCATGTTTTAGTACACACAGTAACTGGGCCATGTTAGAGGACACGTCAACACAGACACACATGCCTGTATTGTGTCCCTCACCCCACCTCACCCCCCAATATCTGACCTTCCCAAGCTCACACCATACATGGAGAGTGCCAGAGAGGGGGGAGATAATAGAATCTCTTTGATACTTGCATTGGCCACCTTCACACACACAAACTCTCTCTCTTTGTCTCCCACTCTCAGCACAGTATTACATTGTCAGTAAACAAACATTATACACAGTATCTCTCTATGTGTCTCAACATTGTTCCTTGCAGTCTTTTTTTGATTGCCACTTGTTCCCCTCTGTCCTTCCTCCCCCTATTCAGCTGTCAGGTTTCAGGGTCAAAGGTCAACAGCTCTGAGACAGGTGTTTGCTGGGACAGCTGATGGAGGATTTACACTCCGAAGACGACAGCAAACTGCAGATGTGCCCTTTAAGAGGGCTCATATAGCCGGGGATACAAACGCATGGACAAAAACATACGCACACACCCTATGGCCTACTATATTCAGTATGTTTACACTGAGTGTACAAAACATATTTCCATTACATAGACTGACAAGGTGAATCCAGGCGAAAGCTATGCTACCTTATTGATGTTAAATCCACTTAAGTCAGTGTAGATGAAAGGGAGAAGACAGGTTAAAGAAGGATTTGTAAGCCTTGAGACAATTGAGACATGGATTGTGTATGTGTGCCATTCATCAGAGGGTGAATGGGCAAGACAAAATATTTTAAAATATTTAAGAACGGGGTATGGTAGTAGGTGCCAGGTGCACCGGTTTGAGTGTCTCAAGAACTGCAACGCTGCTGGGTTTTTCACACTCAACAATTTCCTGTGTGTATCAAGAATGGACCACCCCCCAAAGGACATCCAGCCAACTTGACACAATTGTGGGAAACATTGGAGTCAACATGGGCCAGCATCCCTGTGGAACGCTTTTGACCCCTTGTAGAGTCCATGCCCCTGACAAATTGAGGCTGTTCTGAGGGCAAAAGGGGGTGCAACTCAATATTAGGAAGGTGTCCCTAATGTTTTGTACACTTAGTGTATATTACATCCAGTATACAGTAATATGGAATAGGTAATATGATCACAAACACAGATCATCAGACATTTTACTCCGCTGGCATGTTCTGATCATAGCACAGTACACTGGTCCTCATCCCCCTACTCAGGCTACACACTATCAGGATATCAGGATACCCCCTTATCTACAGACTGCATGACAGGGCAGCCATTTCTCTCTGTGTTAATCTACTTTTCAAGGAACAGGCTAAAAATACAGGGGCTGTGACACAGAGAGACAAGGAAGACAGTTTCCAGACACACATCATATCTGTGCTGGCATTCACCAACGGGTTGTCAGGGACTCACACACACAACACACACACACACACACACACACACACAAAACAACCTGTTGGCACCACTGAGACCTGCAGACTAAATATAACTGCCAGTGTGTCCTTGCATTTAAAACAAATGGGTTTGTCCCTATCAACAGTATTTAGGCCTAGATGCAGCTGTTTGCAATCTCATCACACAAATATATGCTGGCAACCAGTTGCTGTGACCCACCACTACATTTTGCTGTGAACTACTCTGAAATAAACATAATCATTTGGATTCTTTTGAAATCGAGTTCAATAAACCACTTTGCTATCATCATCACGACAAACACAAACAGTATTATTTATATTGCATAATACTGGTGCCTGAATACATTTCATCTGAATGTACCTTTCGATTTCACAGGCCCTCCAACCTGTTGTTTGTGTCATGATGACATGTCATTCCACGGGCCAGTGATTCAGCATATTCAGTGACTCAAAACCAAACTATCTCAATGACGCTTGAGATGAGAGCCATGTATACAGAATTCAATGGGCGCCATGTTTGCACCAACAGCTATGCAGGATAGTTTGCTGATCTCTGTATGTGGTTCTGGGTCTACTGACAGAGTACCAAGAATGACATCCAATGCTAGACGCCAGGCCTAAAACATGGTAGGAATAGGGGGAGAGAAGGAAAGGGAAAACAGAGGGATTGAGAGAGAGAGAGTGAGACAGAGGTAGATTACCTGTACTAGGCTGGGGTAACATTGGGCACCCTGGGGATAGACGGGCAGTCCGTAAGGCTGAAGAATCACTGTAGGAGAAGAGAGCATGGTGCATAGCCCGAAAACCACCAGGAGAGAGGGAACGGTGGGGAGATGGGAGGACAAAAGAGGGTGAAAGGGAAAAGGATGGTATGCTCAGAGGAGATGAAAAAACAAGGCAGGAAAATCTAATAAGAGAGAGTAGAATCCAAGTGAAGAAAACACAGAAGGTCCAAGTGAATGAGAGGAAGAGCAGTAAACGTCAGAAGGATAACTGTCAACCATCAACCTCTCAGCTTTGAAAAAATAAAAACAAACTCCCTAAACTAAGAAACAGTCAGCCCATCTAGGTAGGAAGACAGGACATGGCAGAGAAGTTAGAAAGAGCACTGCTGTGTGTCTGTCAGCCTGTCAGTTGGTCGGCCTGACAGACAGAAACACATGTAAAGGGTCCCGTTTCAGGGTGTTATAAATAGTCGCTGTCTCTCTCTCTCTACCACCTCCACCCCCCTCTCTCAATCTGTCAATTAGCTACTAGGTACCATATGCACACTCTTCTGTTGTGAGTGCACGTGCAACATGTTGTTTGAGTGGGTGTGCTGGTTAATAGGCTATCACTATTCTAAAAGCATTAGCTACCCTTGCAACAAAAAAAACGAATAAAACAACAAACTCAGACTGGTCCATTTGTTGTGTGTAAATCTCTGCTCTCCGTCTCCCAGTAGCACTGACAGTGGTGGCTGTCAGAGATTTATGTGACAGCTGGGTCTCACACACACACACACACACACACACACACACACACCATACATAGGATGCTGGGCTAACACACACACACACATTTTGAGACATTTTCTAAACAATGTTCAATATTCGAACAGAGGCCTAAACAAAAGCTCACAAAATAATACATGGCAACGTTCATTCCGTGTAGTACACTAGACTAGATAGTTGTTTGAAAAGTTCGTTGTTCTTGTTCAGCAAGTGAAAATAAAGGGTTTTGGTTTAACTAACAAAGTGGTAGTTTTAAAGTTGAACAACAGAGGGGGGTATTTCACCAACTGCTGCTTTGAAGTGGTGTCGTCACATATTGATGGGAAATGTAGTTCACGGGATCCATATAAATACTGGAGAAATCCAATTTGACTTCCTCTTTATCGCACTAGCCTGTGGAACACAGGTAATAATAGGCCATGTTCTTTAGTGTCTGTCTTGTTTTTCCGTAGAAGTAGGGTCGCAATGTTGGAAAGTATTGAATGTATACGTTTAATTGTGCATTTCGGTAACGACGAACATCTTTTGTATATTTTTGGCATAACTTCTGCCATATTCGTTCATGTCAGTCGGACACGCACTTTACAACGTGGTTAGCACGCTAACGTTAGCTAGCAAGAGTGACATGGCGCCGGTGAGGCCAAACGTTAATGTACTGTAGTAGTCGATGCATCTTCTCAAAGCAATCCTTAGACGCTAGTTACTTGGCTAGTTAAATAACTAACATGTTCCCAGTGTTGGTTTCAACGGCCAAGTTACACTAGTTACTTAGTAACTACAAGGATAACCACTAGCGGAGCCTCTCTCAGTAAACTGACCCTGATCAATACAATTACATCTACTTATAGTTTGCTAATAGCATAACTGCCTTATTACACATGTTAGTATTAATGGTGTATGACGTATGATGGTCTGCAGAATAATTAACATGGGTCGAGATTCATTATGTCCACTTGTGTAATCGCTATATTGGAACTGAAACAGCCATATCAATTATTCCTCAGGCACTTTGACCAACCATGCCCGTTGCCAGGAGTTGGGTTTGTCGCAAGACCTATGTCACCCCCCGTCGCCCCTTCGAGAAGTCTCGTCTCGACCAGGAGCTTAAACTTATCGGTATGTGTGCAAATACCAGGTTTTGATTCATATTTATATTGAAACTGCTGGTCTCTAAATATCTTGTTTTTATTCAGTAAATTGACTTTAATCTCTCAGGGGAGTATGGTCTGAGGAACAAGCGTGAGGTTTGGAGGGTGAAGTTCACCCTGGCCAAGATCCGCAAGGCCGCCAGAGAGTTGCTCACTCTGGATGAGAAGGACCCCAAGCGTCTCTTTGAAGGTACACCACATCTAGCTTGTGCTCTGAGCTATATTTTGACTGCTCTTAGAAATGCTTTGAGCTGTTAGCTAGTTAAACATTGGCCAATGATTTAAACATTTTGATATTCAGATTGTCTGTGGTGTCAAGAATTCCTCGTGAATGAGGCCGTCAGTCAGATTTCCAGATGCCCTAAGTCAGGGTTATTCAGATCTTACCCTACGAGGTCCAGACTACTGCTTGTTCTGTTCTACCTGAATTAATTGCACCCACCTGGGGTTCCTGGTCTCTATTAGGTCCAGATATATTTGAGGGCCCTACGTTGTGATTGAAAATGGTTATCTTCTAGGTAACGCCCTGCTCAGGCGCCTGGTGAGGATCGGTGTGCTGGATGAGGGCAAGATGAAGCTCGATTACATCCTGGGCCTGAAAGTGGAGGATTTCTTGGAGAGGAGGCTGCAGACGCAGGTGTTCAAGCTGGGCCTTGCTAAGAGCATCCACCATGCCCGCGTTCTCATCCGCCAGAGGCACATCCGGTAAGCTAAGGGAGATGGTCACTAGATTGCCATGCTTGAAAGGACAAGTCGGTAGATCATTACACTAGTCTGTTATTTTGAATAGCGTCTATGATAAACTTGTGACGGGTTGGTGATAAACCATTTGTAACATGTATTTTTCTAAAATGTTGTCCTTTCTCACATGGCTACACTAACTGTTCAGGTGACTATTGTTATGAGGTGACTCAACTCATGAGATACTTTCTCAATCCTTAGAGGGCCTCTGAAACGATAGCGCGTCGCTGAGCGCGGTTTAACATTTTCAGCAAGGTCAATTCGGTAAAAAACCGTATACCTTGTCTATGACTGCCCAGAGCCAATCCTGCTGATCAAGAGTGGGCAAACAGTTTCAGCAAGGTCAATGCAGTAACAAACTGTATACCTTGTCGATAAGACTGCCCAGAGCCAAGCAAGAGGCAGACTGCTACCATGGCTTATTGGCTTGACAGGTAATGTATGGGGGATTGCACCTCGGGCAGATATGTGGACCAATGGTCATGGCAAACTGTCAAGTGTATGCTGTGTATTTGACTTGTAAGGCAATCGCAGGGTCTTCAATTGAGTTTGGTAAGAGTAGCTTACCTCATCAGGCAGGCCGATGATTAAAATGAATATTCAGACTTCCTGTGTTGTCAAGAATTCCTCGTGAATGAGGCCTGTCATTGATGCCAAACTATCCCCATCTAGATGGTTATTTGTTTAGGCTATTAAATGGGGGGTGGAACAAATCACTCATTGATCTCTCCTTTCTCCCTCCAGTGTGCGCAAGCAGGTGGTGAACATCCCCTCCTTCGTGGTGCGCCTGGACAGCCAGAAGCACATTGACTTCTCCCTGCGTTCACCATACGGTGGTGGACGCCCCGGCCGTGTCAAGAGAAAGAATGCCAAGAAGGGCCAGGGTGGCGCTGGAGGAGCTGATGAGGAAGAGGAGGATTAAAATGGAGGCTGACCGGGGGTGTTTGTGTCTGACACTTAATGTTTTTCAATAATAATAAAAATTATTTGACTTTACTTCAATTTGTCATTTTCACAATAGACTACGCATAATGGCTACATTAGGGTTATAAACTCAGCAAAAAAAGAAGCATCCCTTTTTCAGGATCCTCTTTCAAAGATAATTTGTAAAAATCCAAATAACTTCACAGCTCTATTGTAGTGTTTAAACACTGTTTCCCATGCTTGTTTAATGAATACAATTAATGAACATGCACCAGAGGGTAGGCAATTAAGGTCATAGTTATGAAAACTTAGGACACTAAAGAGGCCTTTCTACTGACTCTTAAACACCCTAAAAAAAATGCACAGTCCCTGCTCATCTGCGTGAATGTGCCTTAGGCATGCTGCAAGGAGACATGAGGACTGCAGATGTGGCCAGGGCATTAAATTGCTATGTCCGTACTGTGAGACTCCTAAGACAGCGAGAGAGGACGGACAGCTGATCGTCCTCGCAGTGGCAGACCACGCGTAACACCTGCACAGGATCGGTACATCCGAACATCAAACCTGCGGGACAGGTACAGGATGGCAACTGGCCGAGTTACACCAGGAACGCACAATCCCGCCATCAGTGCTCAGACTGTCCGCAATAGGCTGAGAGAGGCTGGACTGAGGGCTTGTAAGGCAGTTCCTCACCGGCAACGTCGTCTATGGGCACAAACCCACCGTCGCTGGACTAGACAGGACTGGCAAAAAGTGCTCTTCACTGACGAGTCGCGGTTTTCTCACCATGGCTGGATTCGCGTTTATAGTCGAAGGAATGAGCGTTACACCGAGGCCTGTACTCTGGAGCGGGATCGATTTGGAGGGGTAGGGTCCGTCATGGTCTGGGGCAGTGTGTCACGGCATCATTGGACTGAGCTTGTGGTAATTGCAGGCAATCTCAACGCTGTGCGTTACAGGGAAGACATTCTCCTCCCTCGTGGTACCCTTCCTGCAGGCTCATCCTGACATGACCCTCCAGCATGACAATGCCACCAGCCATACTGCTCGTTCTGTGCGAGATTTCCTACAAGACCGGAATGTCAGTGTTCTGCCATGGCCAGCGAACAGCCCGGATCTCAATCCCATTGAGCACGTCTGGGACCTGTTGGATCGGAGGGTGAGGGCTAGGGCCATTCCCCCCAGAAATGTCCGGGAACTTACAGGTGCCTTGATGGAAGAGTGGGGTAACATCTCACAGCAAGAACTGGCAAATCTGGTGCAGTCCATGAGGAGGAGATGCACTGCAGTACTTAATGCAGCTGGTGGCCATACCAGATACTGACTGTTACTTTTGATTTTGGGAATAATGTAATTTGGTCCTTTGCTCTGTGTTGGATATTGGAGTGACAACTCATCTAATTTTATTTGTCACATGCTTTGTAAACAGGTGTAGACTAACTATGAACTGCTTACTTATGGGCCCTTCCCAACAATGCAGAGAAATAGCTGAAAAATAACATACTGACTAACCATAACTTGATTAGATACACAGGGTACCGAGTTGATGTGCAGGGGTACTAGGGAATTGACATAGATGGTAAGTGACTAGGCAACGGGATAGATGAACGGTGACCCGTCAAGAGGGCAAAAAAGGGTCAATGCAGATCATCTGTAGCTATTGGTTAAGTATTTAGCCGTTTTATAGCTTGTGGGTAGAAGCTGTTCAGTGTCCTGTTTGTTTCAGACTTGTTGCATCAGTGAGGTGTGGTATCAGATCTGACCATTTTTAGGGCCTTCCTCTGACACTGCCTGGTGTAGAGGTCCTGGATGGCAGGGAGCTCTGCCCCAGTGATGTACTGGGCCGTACACACTATCTTCTAGCGCCTTGCGGTTGGATGCCAAACAGTTGCCATACCGAGTGATGCAGCCGGTCAAGATGCGCTCAATAGTGCAGCTGTAGAAATTTGATCTGAGTGTCCATGCCAAATATTTTCAACCTGAGGGGGAAAGGTGTTTTCATGCCCTCTTCGACTTGTGTGTGTGGACCATGATAGTTCCTAAGTGATGTGGACACCGAGGAACTTGAAGCTCTCGACCTGCTCCACAACATCCTTGACGATGTGGATGGGGGCTTGCTCGTCCCTCCGTTTCATGTAGTCCACGATCAGCTCCTTTGTCTTGCTGAGGTTGTTGTCCCGGCACCACACTGCCAGGTCTCTGACCTCCCTGTAGGCTGTCTGAAGAAATAGCACAGGGTAAGTGCTTTGTCTGCCCTAACTAATGGGATTGTGGATTTGTGGTGAAGAAATATAGGTAAAATGCATGTTTTATCCAACAGCCTAGTTAGACTGACTATATTCATACATTTGCCACTCTTGAAATGGACTCAAAAGGCCTGTGGTTCAAATGATAACAAAGCAACCATCCCTCCTCTCTTAGTATGGGGCTGGAGAAATGGAAACACTCAGATTCATAGACTGCTATGGATGCAAGGAATAACCATCCATGATATCAAATTATAGTTTTCACCATGTTTAACAACATTGGTTACAAACAATGGCATAAAACAAGCTTATTTTGAGTTCTGATGGCGAATATACACTGAACACAAATATAAATGCAGCATTCAACAATTTCAAATATTTTACTGAATTACAGTTCATATAAGGAAATCAGTCAATTGAAATAAATACATTAGGCCCTAATCTATTGATTTGACATGACTGGGAATACAGATATGGATCTGTTCACAGATACCTTTAAAAAAAAAAGTAGGGGCGTGGATCAGAAAACCAGTCAGTATCTGGTGTGACCACCACGCAACATTTCCTTCGCATAGAGTTGATCAGGCTGTTGCATGTGGAATGTTGTCCCACTCCTCTTCAACTGCTGTGCGAAGTTGCTGGATATTGGACACCACAGGGAAGCATGATTAGTCCTCTGTTGTTCTCAATCATGATCAATGATGATTACTCTCAGGTACAGCCGAATATAGGGAGGTCATTATTTGCAGATGATGGGGCATTATGGAAGAGGGGAAGAAATGTGCCATACATAGTCAGGAAGGTACAGGAAGCAATTTATGAGGTAGAGCAGTAGCTTAGTGGTTAAGAGCGTAGTGCCAGTAACCGAAAGGTCGCTGGTTCTAATCCCCGAGCCGACTAGGTGAAAAATCTGTCGATGTGCCCTTGAGCAAGGCACTTAACCCTAATTGCTCCTGTAAGTCGCTCTGGATAAGAGCGTCTGCTAAATAACTAAAATGTAAAATGTAAAAAATTAATGTGGGGATTCAGGTTCTCTGTAGAGAAAACTCAAACAGTGTTCTTTACCAGGAGGAAGGTGGGAGATGAGGTATGCTTGAGGTTATATGGGAGAAACTTGGAGAGGGTGGGGGCCTTCAGGTTCCTTGGGGAATACTTTGACACTAGACTGACCTGGGCAGAACACATTGAGAGAGTGGTGGGAAAGTGTAAGAAGGTGCTAAATGTGATGCGCTGTCTGACGGTGAAGGGCTTTCCTCATTGAAGACCATGTATGTTGCATTGATCCGATCTGTAATAGACTATGGCAGTATAGCATATGGTTCGGCAGCCCGGACCTCATTGGAAAGATGTCATACAGGGGCAAGGACTCAGAATATGTAGTTGGACGTTTCGGACGTCCCCAGTGGCTGCATTACAGGTGATGATGGGGGATATGCCATTGCAGATTAGGAGACAGCAGCTGGAAATGAATTATTGGGTCAACCTACAAGGACATGGGGTGTCTCATCCTGCGAAAGGGATTTAACAGGCATGCTGGGAACATGAGCGAAGACAGAACACAAGCTTTGGGTGGTTGGGTAATACCCAGGCGAAGGAGATGGGACTGTATGGAAGGGAGTTTAGTCCAACGGTAGCTATTTCTGTAAATCCACCATGGCTACTCCCGCCTCCAGTAGTTGATCTAGAAGTGTTGGAGAGACTACAGAAAGATAGGGAGAGTGTTGATCCATCTGATTTGTTTAAGAGACATCTGTATACTGTGTATCAGGATTTTGTGATAGGACGTACTGGGTCAGCATTTGTAGTGCAGGAATGTGGTGTGGAAGTCAGGAAACATATTACAGATCATCTGGCTGTATATACAGGGGAGCTGATGGCCATACTGTTGGCCTTGCAGTGGGTGGAGGAAGTCAAACAAGACAGAGTAGTTATTTGCTCTGATTCATGTGCAGTGTTAATGAGTCTCCAGTTCTTTAGCTCACATAGCAGACAATACCTGCTTTATGAGGTGCTACAAACCCATGGCAGGATTAGACAGATGGGTATACAGATAAGATTTACTTGGGTCCCAGCCCACGTGGCGGTGGAGGGGAACGAGGCAGTAGATGTACTGGCTAAACAAGCACTTAGTAGTGGGGATGTTGAAGTTGAAGTGTCAATGAGCAAGGCAGAGGCAAAAAGACTGATATATACAGTGATGGTGCAGAGATGGCAGGAGCAGTGGAATATAGATAATAAGGGAAGGCATTTATTTCAAGTACAGAGGAAAGTCGGGGAGGACGGCAGGATGGGACAGAAGAGAGGAGGCTATTTTTACAAGATTAAGGGTGGGACACAGCCAGTTGAATAAGACATTAAATGTGATAGGAAAGCATCCAACAGGAAAGTGTGATTATTGTCAGGAAACAGAGACCGTGGAGCATGTATTGCTACAGTGTGGGAAGTATCAGAGGGAAAGAGAGAGGATGAGATCTAGTATGAGGGAGAAGGGGATACAGGAAATTAGTTTAAAGAGTATATTGAGTAGAACGTCATTAGATATAGTCTCAAATATTTTGTTATTGTTTTTAAGAGCAACGGGACTGGTAGGTAGGATTTAGATTCTCCCTGTCTCTGGCCCACACTCCAGTACAGTAGGTGGCGGTAATGTACCATAACGCTGGATGCCAACCGCTGATAAACCCCACGGAAGAAGAAGATGCTGGATATTGGCGGGATCTGGAACACGCTGTCGTACACATCGATCCAGAGCATCCCAAACATGCTCAATGGGTGACATGTACATTTACATTTACATTTTAGTCATTTAGCAGACGCTCTTATCCAGAGCGACTTACAGGAGCAATTAGGGTTAAGTGCCTTGCTCAAGGGCACATTTACGTCATTTAGCAGACGCTCTTATCCAGAGCGACTTACAAATTGGTGCAATCACCCTATAGCCAGTGGGATAACCACTTTACACTTTTTTTATTTTCTTTTTTTTGGGGGGGGGGGGGGGGGGGGGTAGAAGGATTACTTTATCCTATCCCAGGTGTTCCTTAAAGAGGTGGGGTTTCAAATGTCTCCGGAAGGTGGTGAGTGACTCCGCTGTCCTGGCGTCGTGAGGGAGCTTGTTCCACCATTGGGGTGCCAGAGCAGCGAACAGTTTTGACTGGGCTGAGCGGGAACTATGCTTCCGCAGAGGAAGGGGAGCCAGCAGGCCAGAGGTGGATGAACGCAATGCCCTCGTTTGGGTGTAGGGACTGATCAGAGCCCGAAGGTACGGAGGTGCCGTTCCCCTCACTGCTCCATAGGCAAGCACCATGGTCTTGTAACGGATGCGAGCTTCAACTGGAAGCCAGTGGAGTGTGCGGAGGAGGGGGGTGACGTGAGAGAACTTGGGAAGGTTGAACACCAGACGGGCTGCGGCATTCTGGATGAGTTGTAGGGGTTTAATGGCACAGGCAGGGAGGCCAGCCAACAGCGAGTTGCAGTAATCCAGACGGGAGATGACAAGTGCCTGGATTAGGACCTGTGCCGCTTCCTGTGTAAGGCAGGGTCGTACTCTCCGAATGTTGTAGAGCATGAACCTGCAGGATCGGGTCACCGCCTTGATGTTAGCGGAGAACGACAGGGTGTTGTCCAGGGTCACGCCAAGGCTCTTCGCACTCTGGGAGGAGGACACAACGGAGTTGTCAACCGTGATGGCGAGATCATGGAACGGGCAGTCCTTCCCCGGGAGGAAGAGCAGCTCCGTCTTGCCAGGGTTCAGCTTGAGGTGGTGATCCGTCATCCATACTGATATGTCTGCCAGACATGCAGAGATGCGATTCGCCACCTGGTTATCAGAAGGGGGAAAGGAGAAGATTAGTTGTGTATCGTCAGCGTAGCAATGATAGGAGAGGCCTTGTGAGGATATGACAGAGCCAAGTGACTTGGTGTATAGGGAGAATAGGAGAGGGCCTAGAACTGAGCCCTGGGGGACACCAGTGGTGAGAGCATGTGGTGCGGAGACAGCTTCTCGCCACGCCACTTGGTAGGAGCGACCAGTCAGGTAGGACGCAATCCAGGAGTGAGCCGCGCCGGAGATGCCCAGCTCGGAGAGGGTGGAGAGGAGGATCTGATGGTTCACAGTATCAAAGGCAGCAGACAGGTCTAGAAGGACAAGAGCAGAGGAGAGAGAGTTAGCTTTAGCAGTGCGGAGAGCCTCCGTGACACAGAGAAGAGCAGTCTCAGTTGAATGACCAGTCCTGAAACCTGACTGGTTTGGATCAAGAAGGTCATTCTGAGAGAGATAGCAAGAGAGTTGGCTAAAGACGGCACGCTCAATAGTTTTGGAAAGAAAAGAAAGAAGGGATACTGGTCTGTAGTTGTTGACATCAGTGGGATCGAGTGTTGGTTTTTTGAGAAGGGGTGCAACTCTCACTCTCTTGAAGACGGAAGGGACATGGCCAGCGGTCAAGGATGAGTTGATCAGCGAGGTGAGGTAGGGGAGAAGGTCACCGGAGATGGTCTGGAGAAGAGAGGAGGGGATGGGGTCAAGCGGGCAGGTTGTTGGGCGGCCTGCAGTCACAAGTCGTAGGATTTTATCTGGAGAGAGAGGGGAGAAAGAAGTCAGAGCATAGGGTAGGGCAGTGTGAGTAGGACCAGCAGTGTCATTAGACTTAACAAACGAGGATCGGATGTCGTCAACCTTCTTTTCAAAGTGGTTGACGAAGTCATCCACAGAGAGAGAGGAGGGGGGGGATTCAGGAGGGAGGAAAATGTGGCAAAGAGCTTCCTAGGGTTAGAGGCAGATGCTTGGAATTTAGAGTGGTAGAAAGTGGCCTTAGCAGCAGAAACAGATGAAGAAAATGTAGAGAGGAGGGAGTGAAAAGATGCCAGGTCGGCAGGGAGTTTAGTTTTCTTCCATTTCCGCTCCGCTGCCCGGAGCTCTGTTCTGTGAGCTCGCAATGAGTCATCAAGCCACGGAGCTGGAGGGGAGGACCGAGCCGGCCGGGAGGATAGGGGACACAGAGAGTCAAAGGATGCAGAAAGGGAGGAGAGGAGGGTTGAGGAGGCAGAATCAGGAGATTGGAGGGAGAAGGATTGAGCAGAGGGAAGAGATGATAGGATGGAAGAGGAGAGAGTAGTGGGAGAGAGAGAGCGAAGGTTGCGGCGGCGTTACCATCTGTGTAGGGGAGTAGGTGGAGGAGCGAGAGAGAAAAGGAAACAAAGTAGTGGTCGGAGACATGGAGGGGAGTTGCAGTGAGATTAATAGAAGAGCAGCATCTAGTAAAGATGAGGTCAAGCGTATTGCCTGCCTTGTGAGTAGGGGGGGACGGTGAGAGGGTGAGGTCAAAAGAGGAGAGGAGTGGAAAGAAGGAGGCAGAGAGAAATGAGTCAAATGTGGACGTAGGGAGGTTGAAATCCCCCAAAACTGTGAGGGGTGAGCCATCCTCAGGAAAGGAACTTATCAAGGCGTCAAGCTCATTGATGAACTCTCCAAGGGAACCTGGAGGGCCGATAGATGACAAGGATATTAAGCTTAAATGGGCTAGTGACTGTGACAGCATGGAATTCAAATGAGGAGATAGACAGATGGGTTAGGGGAAAAATTGAGAATGTCCACTTGGGAGAGATGAGGATTCCTGTGCCACCACCCCTCTGACCAGATGCTCTCGGGGTATGCGAGAACACATGGTCAGACGAGGAGAGAGCAATAGGAGTAGCAGTGTTTTCAGTGGTAATCCATGTTTCCGTCAGCGCCAGGAAGTCGAGGGACTGGAGGTTAGCATAGGCTGGGATGAAGTCAGCTTTGTTGGCAGCAGAACGGCAGTTCCAGAGGCTGCCTGAGACCTGGAACTCCAGGTGTGGGGTGCGTGCAGGGACCACCAGGTTAGAGAGGCAGCAGCCACGCGGTGTGAGGCGTTTGTGTAGCCTGTGCAGAGAGGAGAGAACAGGGATAGGCAGAGGCATAGTTGACAGGCTGTAGCAAATGGCTACAATAATGCAGAGGAGATCGGAATGAAATGAACTAAACATCTGGGAGAGGAGAGAGCAGGGCCTCCCTCACCAAAACTTCCACCTCAGAAACTATAATTGTTTCACTGAACCACCCGAACAAAAACTCTCCCAACTTCCACCTTTAGAAATCAGAATTGTTGTGAACCACAGGTTCAATGTTTCAAGGAATGGACTCAACCCACTTTATTCAGCTAGCTAACTATGACACCATAGCTAACTAGCATGCTAGCATCCAATAACACACAGTTTAGCACCAACACTTGGTCACAACAAACCACCAATAGTGTGTTAACACACTAAACGGATAATTCGTGTCCGTGTCTAGTTCCTTTCATAACGCAGCAATAATTAAACGTTGGCTAGCTAGCACAAATATATTGTATTTAGCTGCCACAGTACAGCACACAATGGCTACTGTGTATGTTGAGTATGCAGGCCAAGAAAGAACTTGGACATTTTCAGCTTCCAAGAATTGTGTACAGATCCTTGCGACATGGGGCCGTGCATTATGCTGAAAACGTGAGGTCATGGCGGCGGATGAATGGCACGACAATGGGCCTCAGGATCTCGTCACGGTATCTCTGTGCATTCAAATTGCCATTGATAAAATGCAATTGTGTTCGTTGTCCGTAGCTTATGCCTGCCCATACCATAACCCCACCATGGGGTTATGGTATGGGCCACCATGGGGCACTCTGCCACCATGAGGCACTCTGCTCACATGTTGTGTTTACATTTTTGTTCAGTGTATACTGTATCATTGGGTACGACAGTGGAACAACGCTTATGAGACATTAAGTAATATTCCTCAAGAATCAATGGGTTCGCTATATTAATATAAAATTACAAACCATTTCAACCAAAATGACTGGTTCTTCTTGAAATGTACTGCCTCATTTATGGAACTGGGCAGTGTCCATGGGCGGAGTTTTGATTGTGAATGACGCGTTGTTGCGGTAGTAGGAAGTGGGATTTACCAAATCATCACTGTCTGTGTGCTGACATAATATTCAAGATTTGTTCCAGGGATTTTTAACTATATTGAATGTCGGCCTGATTTTAAACGTGAGTACATGTTTACTCTAGAAGTTTAACTACATCCTTTGAACACAGATGTACAGCTACAGGAAATGCAATCATTGAGCTAAGAGCTAATGTTGGCTGCTAGCAAGTTAGCTTGTGGTCCTGGGGATAGCTAGCCACATTTTTGCGTTTCTAGAATGAGTAACTTATCGCCTATATAAGTTCCAATAGAACGAATATGGCCCCTGTCTTCTGTCACTGCAGTACTTGCTCTGGTGTCACGCAAGGCTGCAGTAGCTAACTAGCTTAGCGTGGTGCTAACATTTGTAACGCGTATGTTGCAATTCTGTGATTACTCCATCCATGGCATGATCAGGCGAGCTCTAATTCAGCCCACACACTAGCTCTTATCAGTGGTGTAAAAGTGAGCTCATGACGATGTGGCTGTTGAGGCATGTGTATAATATGAACTATGTATTATACTGATTACTAGCTTGTACCACTATTTGTGTATCGAGGGACCAACATGCATAGCAACGTGGAATAGAACAGACACGACTTTGTCAATCACAGGCTTTCTCACTTTCATAGTGGTGCTGTATGCAAACTGCAGTCAAATTCCTCATAGCATTTTTCCATGCAACACAGAGGGCCTATTTAAGTTCCCATGATCATACCGTGTGTGTGTTGTGTACCTTTGTGCAACTGTGTGTGCGTGCAGAGAAATGTCTCCAGATGAGCTGGTCTACTTGGGAATTCTCGCTGCTTCCATCCCCATCGGGTTCCTATTCCGGTACCTGAGTGAGTATTCTATCTGGGCCATCAAAGAAATTCACCTAACCTACGCGGTATCTCCTAGAATAGATGAACACTGAAAAACACAATGCTTTCTCTGGATTTTTTCTTTTCAAGACATTCTGGTAACAAGCAGGACAGAAGAATGAAAAGGCAGTTGCAGTCACGATAACATGTCTACAAAAATGTTAACACATGATGTAGAATAGACCTATCTGCTCTGCTCTCAAGGTTTATTGTAAGTGATGTGTGTGGGTGTTATTGTTGCTGTAGGTCCTCCAGTGAAGCAGGGGGCAGCGTTGCTCTTGGGCCTCTCGATCACCATAGCAACCTGTCAGGTCCATGCGCTCCACTCACTGGTGACGGTGCTCGGAACATGGATCATCATCAAGAGCAGCTGGCGGTGAGAGACATTAGTGATGGGGGGAAAAATCGATACAGTTACATACCGAGATATTATTTTTGACGATATATCTTATCGTTTTGACAATATCGCAATATAATTTTTGCGCTAGTTGGCTGTACCTGCACCAAAACCCCAGTATTTTTCCTTCATAGCTTGTTCTCCATCTTTTTAAAGAGGGAGCCAATTTGTTTTCAGCACGTTTATTTCCATGACTGATCAAAATTCGTGTTCTCATGGCTCTCTCTTGTCCCTTTGCAGCAAACATATGGTGAGCAGTATGTTTGTAACATCGAATCGTAATAAAATCACAGTATCGAATCACAATACATATTGTATCGGCACCAAAGTATCGTGATAATATCTTATTGTGAGGTCCCTGGCAATTCCCAGCCCTAAGAGACATTATTCAAAATATACAAATTATATATCAACAGACACCGTAGAACACTCCTGTGTCTTAATGTTGTGTCACTATTTAGTGTGGCAGTCAGGAACTTCTCTCTCACCCATTCCCCTGTTTACCTTCCTTAGGAGTGCCCCAGCTCTTTCTCTGGCCTGGACCTTCCTCTACCTCCTCTTCTTCAGACTGGTCACATGGTTCGGCCTGCCGCCGCCAACACCCTTCGCCAACGCCATCCAGCTACTCCTCACTCTGAAGGTACATCTACAGGAAGAGATGGAGGACACACACATACACGATTACTGAAATGCAATGGCATTATGCATCATGATGTTGTTTACAGTAACAACCCACTTGTTTTCATTCAGCTGGTCAGTCTGGCCAATGAGGTGCAGAGTTTTCACCTAGAGAAGAAACAGGAAGTGAGCTCATTCTCCAAGTCTCCTGTGGTTGGTGGACTGTCCCAAGAGCCCTCCCTCTATGATATGATAGCCTATAGCTACTGCTATGTGGGTATAATGACAGGTAAGGCTGTCTAGCCCCATTCCCTAGTTTGTTTCATCATACAGGGCTACTGTCAACATATCCACAGTTCACCCATTTCTCTGCATCTCTTTTTGATATGGAGACAGATGAATGACTTCAGTGTGTATGTGTGTGGTGTAAACGTATCATGTATTTAGTATGATTTGCCACTAATTTGCTTTTGCACCCATTTTAACTGTTGTTGTTTCTCTCTGTCTTTCTTTCTATCTGCCACTAGTAAAATATTGTGTGAGTCTGCTTACGTTTTCTCTTCTGCTACACGACCTTCCTGTAACTCTCCCTCCTTTTTTTACTCATCCCCTTCGTCCATCACCCAATAACACTCCTCCTCCTTACAATCTATCCCTTTTTTGTCCTCCAATGATCCCTCTCTCTCCTCATTATGTTTTCTAACTCATACAATCCCTGTTGTCTATCCTACCACTTGTCCCTCAATGCTCTCTCTTCATCCCTTCATTTTATCCCTGCATCTCCCTAAAGGCCCATTCTTCCGGTTCCAAACCTATGTGGACTGGCTGAGGCAGCCCAGCTCCCTGGACCTTCCTGGCCGGGTACCCTGCATGCTGAGGCTGAGGTTGGTGCCCGTCTACGGAGCTCTGTTCCTGACCGCCAACGCGTACTTCCCCCTGGCATACGTCCTCACTGAAGAGTTCCTGGAACATCACTTCTTCTTCAGGTAGCAAAACAGCACTCTTGATTTTGGGAAAAAAATATATAGTTGCTTGCATCAAAAAAGGTTGATTTATTTTTCATGTATTTCTTTCTTTTGAGTTGGCATAACAGAATTGTGAATTCATTCACCGCTGTCTTTCTCTCTCCAAAGAGCTACGGGATTTTAGACCATAAAATAATAGAGGGCAAAATGTCTCGGAATGATTTCCCAGATGACTGAAAACAATCGAAGGACAAGCGCCAATTCCAGTTAAACAGAATGGAGACAGAACTCTGTTTGTTTAGTATTCCAGACCAATGTTGCCTTTCACTTGTAGTTAAATATTAATGAGGTCTCTCTCTCTCTTTCCCTCCCTCCAGGTTGTTCTACATGACGGTGGTGTTCTTTGTGTTCCGGATGCGGTTCTACGCTGCATGGTGTGGGGCAGAGGCTGGCTGCATCAGCGCAGGACTGGGCTGTTACCCAGAGGGGGCGCTCTCCAAGCCGGGAGGGGGTCCAACTGTCAACTACAGGCAAGTCTCACACAGGATATTCAGTCCAGTTGGGGAAAACAGTAAAGTACGTTAATTCATAATTATTTGTGTTTAATTACATTTTAGTCATTTAGCAGACGCTCTTATCCAGTGCGACTTACAGGAGCAATTAGGGTTAAGTGCCTTGCTCAAGGGCACATTGACAGATTTTTCACCTAGTCAGCTCGGGGGTTCGAACCAGCAACCTTTCAGTTACTGGCCCAATGCGCTTAACCGCTAGGCTACCTGCTAATCTTGGTTTTGATTTTTCTGTCTCTCCAGCCCTGACCCTGACAGTCCGGTTTTGTACGACTTCAAAACCATCCAGAACATTGACCCATACAACACTGACTTCTGTGTGAAGGTCCGCCACGGGATGCGCTACTGGAACATGACTGTGCAGTGGTGGCTGCATCACTACATCTACCCCAACTCCCCCTTCAAGGCTTACGCACTCAAGTAAGGGCCCTATGCAGGTTCACTAGAGAAGGCATGTGTATTGTGTAAATAAACTGTCTCATAGCAGTCTGTTAAAAACTACAAAACTACAGTCAACTTTCAATGTATTTGTAACTGCCAGATAAGATGTCCCCTGAATGTCATTTGATGCATATGTTTCACAGTACTACTTCTCTCTCTCTCTCTCTCTCTGTCTCTCTCTCAGGGCTGGATGGACCATGTTCATCAGTGCATACTGGCACGGGCTTCATGCTGGCTACTACCTGTCTTTCCTCACCATCCCCCTGTGCATTGCGGCTGAGTCGGCCATGGAGTCGTCGGTCAGGGCCAAGCTGGAGCCCCGGGGCCAGAGTGCCTTCGACTGGGTCCACTGGTTCCTCAAGATGAGGGCCTATGACTACATGTGTATGGGCTTCGTCCTGCTGAAGGCCAGCGACACTGTCCACTACTGGACCTCCATCTACTTCATCATCCACATCATCGCCCTGGCCTGCATTCTGTTCGGGAGGCTGATGAAGGGAGGAAAGAGGGAGGGAAAGAAGAGTGAAAAGGAGGAGAAAATTGAGGGGGGGAAGAAAGAGGTGAAGCAAGAGGACGTGAGAGAGAAGACAGAGTGAGAATGGAATGATGGGGGGAGATGGGAGGATGTCCTGTATGGGGAGTATTGGTTTACTAAAGAACTACAATTCCCACAATGCACTGTCTGTCACTGATCTGTATGGGTCACTTTTGTCAGTTATGTCCAGTGATGTCTCACCTGGTAGAGAAGAGTTATGTTCAATCCCGAACTGACCCCTAGGCCCTACTAGGGTTTGATCTGGAGTTGGGAGGTAGAGTAGATTAAGTTGTAGGATTCCTATCCAGGAGACATCATTGGACTGTTAGCTGAATACAGTGAATCCTTATGAACATTGTTGTAACCCAGTAACAGTTGCCATGTCGATATTACATTATAAACCATGTATACATACAGGTATAATTGGGTAAAAGAATGTTTGAGCTTAATGAATGTCATTTCTGATGCGTGAGTGGCAAAAAAGTTCTGGGGAGATGGAGATTATTCAGCTACTTCGCTTGTGCTTATGTATATATGTGTGTAACTGTTTCAAAACACAAAGCCAATTTTCACAATAAATATACTTAAATTAGTTTAGAGGACACAAAATTGGATGTTCTTAGGCTGTAGGTTCAAGATGCTGACATGAAACAGAGTAGAAAGTACTGTAAAGGCACATCACTTGAATCCATTCATAGAGCAAGGACTGAATTTGAACTGGGATCTAAGTATGTTACTTGGAGTCTGTACTTTTGCCTAAATCTCCAATCCCATTGATATCAATGCACGATTTACTCAAAGTTAAATACAAGTTACGGCCATTTATCTCAAGTCATGACCAGAGCAACAATGTATTATTTTTCCGGGGCAACAAGACTTTCCGCTTCTTTATATTTTCACGTTTTCATTGATCAGGTTGTTCCTATGATAAGTTATTATAGAATAGTGCAGAAAACTGAACTTTGGATGACCATGAGCACATACTGAGTTATACTTGTCTAGTTTTAAAACGCATATCACTCCCGAGTGGCGCAGAGGTCTAAGGCACTGCATGTCAGTGCTTGAGGCGTCACTACAGACCCCCTGGTTCGATTCCAGGCTGTATCACAACCGGCCGTGATTGGAAGTCCCATAGGGCGGCGCACAATTGGCCCAGCGTCGTCCGGGTTTGGCCGGTGTAGGCCAAACACCGTTTGGCCGTTGTTCTCCCTTAGCTCCAAGTTGAGAGGAAAACAAATGGTCTGTCATTATTAAGTGGCACCATCCTCAGTGATTTGAGTAATGACCAAGAAACTTGAAATAACATTCACTGTGTCAAGGGGAGGGGCTACTGGAACCAAAAAGACCAGTACAGATTTCATAATGGATTTATGTGGTTTAGAAAAATACATGAAAATAACTTGAGGCATTTGCTATGTTGATTTGAATCTGAATTTATTTTTCAGCATTATTTAAAATGTTGTTTTGGGTGATCTTCTGAAATGTGCTCTTTTGATTTGACTTGGCTGAGCATTTTACTCTTATCTCTTCTTCTTTACAAAAATGATCTGTCCTGCATTCCATAGTCATTATTTAGTTATTTGATTAGTAATCTCTTGTGGACAGATGCACGTAACATAAATTGAGCATCTGATGCAATTATGCGAGAATTGAGTTCTGGGTGTCAGAGATTATTTGATTAGAGATGTAATTCTATACTGTATGGTGAATATTTATTTATTGTTCTTAATTGTTGTCTGTGTGTCACATGCTAGTTCTCAAATGACACCTGGCTATTCCCCATACAGTGCACTACTTTTGGTCAGATCTGGGCCAAAAGTAGTGCACTATATAAGGAAATAAGTTCCCACAGTCAGTCTATTTTAGCAGTGACTGAGGACTGACTGCTAAGGTAGGGTTGTAGACCAAGCTACTACCTTACCGGTCAGTCCTCAGTTACTGCCAAAATGTTTGACTGTCATCTTATTACAAATGTAATGGTATTACTATATAATTAAAAATATATATATTGTGCTGACAGTAGAATAAAAAAAGTTATTTGGAATTATATTTATTGTTATTTAATTTACAAGTTAGCATGGAAGCATTTTTATTATGATTGTTTACCACAATCTGATATAGCCTCCATTGTTCCCACTGTTTCAGCCAAACCCTCCCTCCTTTTCCTTGTGCCAAAACCCTAGCCCCGAAGAAACGACTCCCTTGTGTTTTTTATCAGCCAACTCATTTCAGTACATGACCAGTATAGAAAACATTCCTTGATGGTTGCTTCTCCATCTTTCTCTCTCTCTATCACATGCAATATTTTGTTTTTCTTGTGTATTTTTGTTTGTTTCTAAATTGTTTCACCTTGATACTATGATGATTGTAACTCCCTGCCTTGTAACAGTTCAGTGTTACCAACGGAATACATGTCTCAGCGATTCAACACGTCTAAAGTCTTGTTCCTTATTGATGTTTTGTTCATGGATGTTGGCTGTAGTTATTTTTTATTAGTGTACATTTCTCTTGCCATTTCTGATCTGACATGGTTCATTCTATGGGCTTTACTTACTATAGGAAAATGATCAACGTTCCCCTATCCCCTTACACATGCTCACACGCACAGCCACAAACACACAAATCCCACTGTTCACTGGCTTGCCTCTATGGTTACCTAACAACATGTCACATCAGTGCACAGACAGGTTTATGAACTGAAGCACATACAGTAAACACTCCTACATGATTAAGTAATGGGTCTTCCCTGTAACCAGTCATCAAATGTATTGTAACACCCCAGCTTGTTGATACTGCATTAGTTACTAACATCCGTGTTCTGTTTGACGTAAGCGGAGTGGAACCTAACGGTCTACCAGGAGTAAATGGGTTAAACGTACAAGGAAGTACCTGTGGCAGAGATAGTTATTTGCATGGAGCAAAGTCTGAGGGGGAGTGATTCCTGGATATCTACTACCTTATAAAAGAGCTAGCCCTGTATGCTGGATTAACTATGTATTAGCATTGTAATCAGCAGTGAGATACGGAGGACTGGTTGTTTGATTGTAGTGTTTCTGAAGTGTTGGTGGAATCCTCTCTGATTGTCTCATGGAGTTCAGTGAGCTACAAAGACAGAGCTCCACTATAGGTAAGCTGTGCGACTACTGTTTTGTAGGTGTGGTATGTTAGGTCTCATCGGTACAGGTGTGCCTTTGTGTTCAGTGATTTGCTTCCTGGTCACCTAGGATTACTTGTTTTGTACTATACAAAATATGCTATTACATGGTAAAGAGAGATTTTCCAAGAATGTATACTTTAAAATATGCTTGAATTATGTGTACCACACAAGTATAATGCACCAACAGATTGCAACTCTCCCAAAACTACAACCAATCAACTACATTGACTCTTTGGGCTGACTCATGATTTCACTCATAATTTTTCTCTGTATATATCCTTGCCTTCCTCTGCCCTCTCCAAGCCCACGGTTACCATGGTGCCCAGCAGTCGGTGAGGTTACGGAGTAAGTCGGTAGTGTCCAATCAGAATGGCCCTCAGTTCAACTGGGGTTCTCCCCCCTCAGAGGGGGGAGAGGAGGGTGACTCTGGACCCCCTAAGGACCTCAGAGAGCGGCCTATGCCCATGCGCCTGAAGAGAGCGATACGGTATGGGACCTCAGTGGTCATAGTGGTCACTAGCGTCTCTGCCTCTGTGCAATTCCTTTGTTGTTGTCCTGAAGGTGGCAAACATATTATGCTATAATGAGCAAATGTATTGTACACTATCTCCCTCACTTCGCTTCTCTTCTCTCTCAAAATACTTCCTCTTTCTCTTCCTCCCCCCTGCTCTCCCTTCCAGGGAGGTGCAGCAGATGCGTGTGCCTGTGGTGACTAGCTGGCAGTCGTGGAAACGGAGCAAGGCCAAGTCCCTGAGCAGGTTCAGAGCAGATGCAGGGGGAGCCATGTCCTACATAGCTCTGTGGAGAAAGGCTCTGCATAAGATAGGAGGTGACAGATTCAATCATACTGTCACTCAATCAAATCAGGCAATGGTTAAATCAATGCAATATGAACTACATACACATCTATATCCTGGGCTGTATGTATGTGACATATACAGAACTTAACTATATGCATTTGTTAATGCATACACACTCACCTCACACTAAGATAAAGTTTTCCTCTAGGCTTTTAGCAATATCTAAAAGGTCTCGGTTCCACACGTCTAATGCAGTGGGCTAAATCAGGGTCACACATAATGTTTCTTGGTAGTCAAACAAATCGACTTTGAAACAAAAGCATACACCTCACACACATGGTTATGGTCTTAAAGAAAGAAGACACCTGTATCATGTCACATATAGAGTTTAAATGTATTACATTTTGAGATTGCATCCCAATATCACCCTTTATATACGTTAATGTTTTATTTATTTTTATTAATTCTGAAATTCTGAAAAATATTAATAACATTCCAGGGCTACTGTCGTTGTCAATAATGTTGCCTTCACATTCACAACATGGCCCTGTGACCCCTGTCTTTGTAGGCCACTTTGGCGGTGGTGTCCAGTCCTACTTCATGTTCCTGCGCTTCCTGGTGGTGCTCAACTTCCTGTCATTCTTGCTGATCGCTGGGTTCATCTTCATCCCCAGCATCGTGTTCAGATCCACCAGCAACAGTAACATGACAGTGGACAGCACTGGTAAGGACAGCACTGGAGGATGCATTTTCAAACCAGGCCTATGATTGGTTAAAGGGTGATGGCATTGGAGTGACATTCACAATCTACATTCCAGTCCAGTCTATTTCCATTATTCTGTCTGTCTCCAATATAAAACAATGTCTTCTCACTGTTCCCTGTAACAGTATCATAGCAACAGATCTGCCTTAGAGGATGGGGTTTTGATTTAATTGAGTGATTGAAACTGAAAATATTGCAGCAGTTGTTACTGGTATTCGCTCAGGGTTTTGAAAATGGAGTCCCTCACAAAGTAGCAAGTTATAGAACTCAGGTACGGTGGGAAACTTGATCAAACGTGACCTTGGAGTATCTTCAAACAACTGTGTGTGTGTCTCAGGTCCAGAGGCATGTAGGGTCTATGATCCAAATCTTCAAGGTCTGGTGGTGTTCTACCAGTACTTCCTGGACTTACTCTCTGGAACGGTGAGAAAACACAACATGTGTAATCTAGTCCTGTGTACCACTGGTTATAGATATACTGAATACAGCACAGAGAACAATACTTCTCTGAAGTTCAGTTTGCAAAACAATGTTGATCTGTTTTAAGTGGCCTTGGCCTTTCACACACTTGTCTGTCTGTCTGTCCATCTGTCTTTCTGTCTGTGTATAACATGTACAGTCTGTGTCTGCTTGTGGGTTTGTGTCATTTTGTGCAGTTTAAGTTTAGTACGCTTCTAATCTAGTAGGCTACACTCTCACCACTTCACACCCTCCACCTCTCTCCCTCTCCCAGGGTTTCATGGAGTACTCCTACATGTTCTATGGTTACTATAACAACACTGTGGCAGAGAGCAGTGGCTTCCACTACAACCTGCCCCTGGCCTACCTCCTCACCACCGTCTTCTACTTCGCCTTCTGTCTCATCTGCATCATCGCACGGTACCTTCTGGAATGCCCTACGCTTCCATCTGCATATAAATAGAATGGACATAACCATTCTGGAAGCTAATTAACCCTAATGACTCACTGACCCCCCCCCCCCCCCCACACACACACTCCGATTGGTCCCTTATACAGCATGGGGAGCGCACTTCGCATTGCCGTGGCAACAGGCAGTGGTGCTGCCGGCAGTTACAGCAAGATGGTGTTCACTGGCTGGGACTACGGTTGCCAGGGATACCGGGCCACCAAACTCAAACAGAAAAGCATCCACTACCAGCTACAGGTAGGAGCTCTGCCTCTTACTGCAGAGTCGCTGAAGATGCACTCCTCTTTCCTCCCCTCTAATTTCTCTGTATGATCTCTCTCCTCTATTCCTCCCGTCTCCACTCTCTCTCTCTCCTTCCTCTGTCAGGTGGACCTGGAGGAGGAGAGGCTACAGAAAAAGGCTTTGTCTCTAACATTAGGTCAGACAGTGGGTCTGTGTTCTCTACGCATCTTCCTCATGCTCGTCTCCCTCGCCCTCATAGGAGGAGCTTTCTTTGGCATCTTCCAGGCTACTGTCTTCAGCCAGGTCAGTCAGAAACAAAACAAAAACTATTGACTGGATGTTTGGCCTTTCATCCTCTCCATGTCATATTGAGTCAGTACAGGGAGGTGGGTATCCTGGGGCTGTTCTAACCTTTTCTGGCTGACCTTTGCCCCCTCTCCCTGTGGTTTCTAGGCAAAGGTTGGAGCAGAGGGCATTCTGGGCCTGTTCTGGGTTTACCTTCCTTCCATCGTCATCACAACAGGAAACTTTGTTGTGCCCTTCATGTGTGACCAGATAGCCCTGTTTGAGAGATATTCTCCTAGTACCACCATCATCATGGCACTGTTCAGGTGTGTGTGTGTGTGCAGCCTCTGCCGAGTCCCTAGTTTCAGGCGTTTATTTTACGCCTGCTATGTTAGGTTAGCGTGTGTATGACCTTATCACTCTGCTAGATCTTCACTTACCCAGTGTGTGTGTGTGCATGCGTGCGTGCGTGTGATTATTTCCTGTGTCCCTCCTTCCTGTGTTCAGGTCAGTGTTTCTGCGTATGATAAGTCTGGGAGTGCTGCTGTTTACTCTGTGGAGTCAGATCACCTGCTTTAAAGAGAGTAAAGACTGTCAGCTCTGCCAGTACAACAACAAGGAATATCCGGTAACCACTCTCTTATAACAGCATGGTAGCCTGGGTAGCAGTCAGGCTCTACTTTAGCAGACTTGTCTTCAGAAGGCTGAATAGATTATATCTCCATCCGATTATACCTACAGTACAGTACACGTATCAACCATGTTGCATCATCTTTTCTTCTCTTTTACCACCCATGCTATGTCTGTCTGTCTTGCTGCTGCCACCCAGTGCTGGGAGACGCGTGTGGGACAGGAGATGTACAAACTGGCCTTGTTTGACTTCCTCATTACCATCGCCATGCTCATTCTGGTGGAGTTTCCACGCAGGTAGTGTACACTGTACACCCTACTGTGGTGTAACTCAATCTATGAGCAAGTCATCCTCGATCACATTTATTGATAATCTCTTCTTTCATACTGTGGCAGGTTGTTTGTGGACCACTGCTCCTGTGCACTGACCCGGTGGGTAGGTCGTCAGGAGTTCTTGGTGCCTCCCAATGTGCTGGGTCTGGTCTATGGTCAGACAGTGGTGTGGACCGGAGCTCTGTTCTGCCCTCTGCTGCCTCTCATCAACACACTCAAGTTCTTCATCCTCTTCTACTGCAAGAAGGTCAGGCTGCTCTCAATACTGTACCAATAATGGAAATGTAATCAATTCATTTTGTGAAAGGTTTCTCAAGTTAAAGTTTGGCCCCAGAAGAGTTTCCCTTCACTACACAACCACAGTAACCCCCTTCTCTCCCCCCTTCCTCCTAATCTCTCCTCCTTCTCCAGGTCACTCTGTTTTCTAACTGTCGTCCGGCGGTGAAGACGTTCCGCTCCACCACCTCCACTATCTTCTTCCTGGTGGTGTTGCTGTTCGGCTGGGGCCTCGCCCTCGTCGCCATGATATACAGTCTGGCCCAGTGAGTGCCTGACTCTGGCTATGTCTGAAATGACACCCTATTCACTATATAGTGTACTACTTTTGACCAAGGACTATAGTCAAAAGTAGTGCCCTATATAGAGAATAGGGTGCCACTTCGGACACAGCCTCTATCTCTACTGCAGTAGGAAGTTATACAGTGCAGGGATAGTAGAGTGGCAAATGGACCAGGTTTATTAGTGGTGGTAGATGGTGATGGTGTTGATATGTCATCCTCAGGATCCATCCCTCTATGAGCTGTGGTCCGTTCCGCTCACTCACTATGATGTGGAGTATCGTTCCCAACACCTTCTACACTCTCTCCCTGACAACACAGGACTTCATCTTCTACATGGGCTCCCAGGCCTTCTCCATCCCCCTCTTCATTTTCTCCTGGTGAGTCCCCTTGTCTTACTGATCTCTTCTTCTCCTGGTGAGTCACCTTGTCTTACTGATCTCTTCTTCTCCTGGTGAGTCACCTTGTCTTACTGATCTCTTCTTCTCCTGGTGAGTCCCCTTGTCTTACTGATCCTCTTTCCTGGTGAGTCACCTTGTCTTACTGAACTCTTCTTCTCCATGTGAGGCACCTTGTCTTACTGATCTCTTCTTCTCCTGGTGATCACCTTGTCTTACTGATCTCTTCTTCTCCTGGTGAGTCGCCTTGTCTTACTGATCTATTCTTCTCCTGGTGAGTCCCCTTGTCTTACTGATCTCTTCTTCTCCTGGTGAGTCCCCTTGTCTTACTGAACTCTTCTTCTCCATGTGAGGCACCTTGTCTTACTGATCTCTTCTTCTCCTGGTGATCACCTTGTCTTACTGATCTCTTCTTCTCTGGTGAGTCACCTTGTCTTACTGATCTCTTCTTCTCCTGGTGAGTCGCCTTTGTCTTACTGATCTCTTCTTCTCCTGGTGAGTCCCCTTGTCTTACTGATCTCTTCTTCTCCTGGTGAGTCGCCTTGTCTTACTGATCTCTTCTTCTTCCTGGTGAGTCCCCTTGTCTTACTGATCTCTTCTTCTCCTGGTGAGTCCCCTTGTCTTACTGATCTCTTCTTCTCCTGGTGAGTCCCCTTGTCTTACTGATCTCTTCTTCTCCTGGTGAGTCCCCTTGTCTTACTGATCTCTTCTTCTCCTGGTGAGTCACCTTGTCTTACTGATCTCTTTATCCGATTGTCCATTTATTTTTAACTCATCTTGCAGGTACATGGGTCAGTGTGTTACTGTCTATGTAGTTGCTGTCTACCTTGTGTTTGATGATTTAATATTGCTTTGTAACTCTACATATGGGAGGACCATATCTGCATAGACCCATATGGTAAGCATGTGTTATTTCCATGTGTGCTGAGTGCTGTACATAAGACTCTGACTGTGTTTGTTGCATAAACATGGCTCTCCTCTCTCTCCCTGTCCTGATAGTGTGGTGCTGTGTTACGTAGCAGCTCTAGCTGCAGTCTATGGGAAGAGTGTTGATCTGCTAAAGGCCCAGCTTAAACTGGTAAGTGATGGATGGGGGAGAAGTCCTACATGACATGATCATGATGCAAAAAATATGTTTGAAACAAAACCATGTCCATGACCCATACTCAAGCTTAACCTTGTATAACAGTGTATTTAACTCTAACAGGAGGGACGTGATAAGCAGTTCCTGGTCAAGCAGATTGAAGAGCTGAGTAGAGAGATGGGGGTTCCAACAAGGGCCCAAGCGGACACCTTTGACACTGGTCCAGCAAACTGACTCAGTCACCAGGCTCAAACCCACAGCCCATATCCCGGCCCAAGGCACTCCTTGTAGATTTGATAGGCTTAGATAGGTTTTGCATGTGGCAATCGCACAAAGCACATATCTACACCTTCACAAAGCACTTTACAATTGTCACTCTCTAGTGTATGATAGCTACGTTTATTGAGGATTTTTTTTAAACTTATGACTGAGTGGTGGTTGTCTCACCTAGCTACAGAATCTTAAGATGAATGCACTAACTGTAAGTCACTCTGGATAAGAGCGTCTGCTAAATTACTAAAATCTAAATGTGGAGATTACCATGGGGCTAAGGGTTAGTATAACAAAGCTTTAGATGTGTTTACCCTATTCCGCTCTCATAATACCTGTAACATCAATTGCCATGTTCATTGCCTTTGCATCCTCTTCCTCACCTCTTGCCTAAACGTCACTGTTACCATGGTTACCCCATGGTTACTCGGTGTGAAAGAAGTCGCCCTAAAAAAAGAAATCTCTACAAGCCAGAATGTTGAATAAAATGATATTTACACTTACCGGTTGGCCGTACTGTTGGTCCTTTTCACCGTAGGGAGTGGAGATAAAATATCCACAGGAAAGTATTGTTTACCCGACTTTTTGCGGCACTGGTAGGTTCTGTCACTTGTATTTTCAATCTCCTGAGGCATTGCACATGATGCACAATATGTAAACAATAGCCGAATGTAACCGAACGTTGTCGACCGAAGCACGTTCCCTTGCAATCAGCTGGAAGTGCTTGTGAAATTTGCCAGTTGATTGTGTGGGACAGCGTTCGGTCTGTGGTTCAGTTAAGCTCCGACATTGCTTACATATTGTGCAAGTGTTTGTCATGGGTGAATTGTGTCAGTATTGCAAATACAAAAAATACTAACCAATATACAGACCTGTCCAGCGTACTGAAAGTCAGGTTAACACCTCCCTGTTTATATTTTGTCTCAGTTACTTCCGACATAAGGACACAATCAGCGGACAACTGGTAAAGCAAGTTTAAATGAAGTTTATTCAACATTCTGACTTGTGTAGTATCTGAACATTCCAGAATTTGGCTCTGCTTGCGGAGACATCTGGAAAGCATTACTATAGGGGCCCCCTAAAACAGAGGAGAGTCTGTTATGTGAAGGCCAGGGATTGGTCTGTAGAGAACCACCCATATTATGTTACATATTATAAATACCATGGTTGGAACAAAGGAGGGAGAGAATATAACATATTAGAGATTGGGTCAGTTGTTCTCCAGATGTCTGCAGGAGTCTGTAAATTGATACTGTTATCTTTGATGTAATAAACCATTATAATCAAGGACAGTATCAGCGGATTTCTTGTCATCACAGCATATCAGCATCGTTATCTCGATACCACACTTGTAATGGGACTGTTCGGGAATTCTGAGCCTACATGTTAGAGACAAGAGTGTAAGTCTTTCAATCTCGGATTCTAAAAGAGGCTACCTCATCCCCACCTTTAGAACATTGAATGCGTTTATTTTTCTAAATTGATTTAAATATTGTGTTTATATATATTTTTAATGTTCTTCAATTCAACAAGTTATTTCTCTAAGTATATATATACACAGTATCTTCTGTATGTACTTTTATCTCTGAAATAAATGGAAAATTATAATGAACAAAATTCTATTATTTCTGTCATGTGCAACGTACGCCCCCTGCTGACACGTGAGAGAACTTCTTCTTCTGTGGGTTTTATGGCGGACTACAACCAAAAAGGTGTATTGCCGCCACCAACTGGACGGGTTGAAAAACCAAAACAAGGTAAAAAGAAAATCCATTTGTGATATGGAAACTAACTTAATCCACCCAAATAAAAATAGTAAATTGACAAAAACAAAACCACCATCTCTTCCTTCTTTCAAATCTCCATATCTCCCTTCTCAGGCTCTAGGGCCTGAGAGGGTGGTACAGCTTGTGACAATATTCCATGTAACTCCTTTGCCAAGAAATCTTTCAACCCAGGAACCACTCCGCCGCATCCACAATGATTATCTTCTTGGACCTTCTCTCCACCTTGGCAGTGGCATTAATCACCATAGCTATAAAGGCCACATTCTTAACCTTTAAAATGTCAGGGTCCTGCTGGTGAAAGGCATCCCCTGCAGCCTGCAGTGAAGGCCTATCCACCACCATGGACTCTTTATTTATTTTTATTTATTTATTTCACCTTTATTTAACCAGGTAAGCCAGTTGAGAACAAGTTCTCATTTACAACTGCGACCTGGCCAAGATAAAGCATAGCAGTGCGATAAAAACAACAACACAGAGTTACATATGGGGTAAAAAAAACATTAAGTCCAAAAATACAACAGAAAATATATATACAGTGTGTGCAAATGTAGCAAGTTATGGAGGTAAGGCAATAAATAGGCTATAGTGCAAAATAATTACAATTAGTATTAACACTGGAATGCTAGATGTGCAAGAGATTATGTGCAAATAGAGATACTGGGGTGCAAAAGAGCAAAATAAATAACAATATAGGGATGAGGTAGTTGGGTGGGCTAATTTCAGATGGGCTGTGTACAGGTGCAGTGATCGGTAAGGTGATCTGACAACTGACGCTTAAAGTTAGTGAGGGAGATAAGAGTCTCCAGCTTCAGAGATTTTTGCAATTCGTTCCAGTCATTGGCAGCAGAGAACTGGAAGGAATGGCGGCCAAAGGAGGTGTTGGCTTTGGGAATGACCAGTGAGATATACCTGCTGGAGCGCAGACTACGGGTGGGTGCTGCTATGGTGACCAATGAGCTAAGATAAGGCGGGGATTTGCCTAGCAGTGATTTATAGATGGCCTGGAGCCAGTGGGTTTGACGACGAACATGTAGTGAGGACCAGCCAACAAGAGCGTACAGGTCACAGTGGTGGGTAGTGTATGGGGCTTTGGAGACAAAATGGATGGCACTGTGATAGACTACATCCAATTTGCTGAGTAGAGTGTTGGAGGCTATTTTGTAAATGACATCGCCGAAGTCAAGAATCGGTAGGATAGTCAGTTTTACGAGGGCATGTTTGGCAGCATGAGTGAAGGAGGCTTTGTTGCGAAATAGGAAGCCGATTCTAGATTTAACTTTGGATTGGAGATTCTTAATGTGAGTCTGGAAGGAGAGTTTACAGTCTAACCAGACACCTAGGTATTTGTAGTTGTCCACATACTCTAGGTCAGACCCGTCGAGAGTGGTGATTCTAGTCGGGTGGGCGGGTGCCAGCAGCGTTCGATTGAAGAGCATGCATTTAGTTTTACTAGTGTTTAAGAGCAGTTGGAGGCTACTGAAGGAGTGTTGTATGGCATTGAAGCTCGTTTGGAGGTTTGTTAACACAGTGTCCAATGAAGGGCCAGATGTATACAAAATGGTGTCGTCTGCGTAGAGGTGGATCTGAGAGTCACCAGCAGCAAGAGCGACATCATTGATATACACAGAGAAAAGAGTCGGCCCAAGAATTGAACCCTGTGGCACCCCCATAGAGACTGCCATAGGTCCAGACAACAGGCCCTCCGATTTGACACACTGAACTCTTTCTGAGAAGTAGTTGGTGAACCAGGCGAGGCAGTCATTTGAGAAACCAAGGCTATTTAGTCTGCCAATAAGAATGCGGTGGTTGACAGAGTCGAAAGCCTTGGCCAGGTCGATGAAGACGGCTGCACAGTACTGTCTATTATCGATTGCGGTTATAATATCGTTTAGGACCTTGAGCGTGGCTGAAGTGCACCCATGACCAGCTCGGAAACCGGATTGCATAGCGGAGAAGGTACGGTGGGATTCGAAATGGTCGGTGATCTGTTTGTTAACTTGGCTTTCAAATACTTTCGAAAGGCAGGGCAGGATGGATATAGGTCTGTAACAGTTTGGGTCTAGAGTGTCACCCCCTTTGAAGAGGGGGATGACCGCGGCAGCTTTCCAATCTCTGGGGATCTCAGACGTTACGAAAGAGAGGTTGAACAGACTAGTAATAGGGGTTGCGACAATTTCGGCGGCTAGTTTTAGAAAGAAAGGGTCCAGATTGTCTAGCCCAGCTGATTTGTAGGGGTCCAGATTTTGCAGCTCTTTCAGAACATCAGCTGTCTGAATTTGTGTGAAGGAGAAGCAGGGGGGGTATGGGCAAGTTGCAGCGGAGGGTGCAGAGTTGGTGGCCGGGGTAGTGGTAGCCAGGTAGAAAGCATGGCCGGCCGTAGCAAAATGCTTGTTGAAATTCTCGATTATTGTAGATTTATCAGTGGTGATAGTGTTTCCTAGCCTCAGTGCAGTGGGCAGCTGGGAGGAAGTGCTCTTATTCTCCATGGACTTTACAGTGTCCCAAAACTTTTTGGAGTTAGTGCTACAGGATAAAAATTTCTGTTTGAAAAAGTTAGCCTTTGCTTTCCTGACTGCTTGTGTATATTGGTTCCTAACTTCCCTGAAAAGTTGCATATCGCGGGGGCTATTTGATGCTAATGCAGTACGCCACAGGATGTTTTTGTGCTGGTCAAGGGCAGTCAAGTCTGAGGAGAACCAGGGGCTATATCTGTTCTTAGTTCTGTATTTTTTGAATGGGGCATGTTTATTTAAGATTGAGAGGAAATTACTTTTAAAGAACAACCAGGCATTCTCTACTGACGGAATGAGATCTATATCCATCCAGGATACCTGGGCCAGGTCAATTAGGAAGGCCTGCTCGCTAAAGTGTTTTAGGGAGCGTTTGACAGTAATGAGGGGTGGTCGTTTGACCGCGGACCCGTTACGGACGCAGGCAATAAGGCAGTGATCGCTGAGATCCTGGTTGAAGACAGCGGAGGTGTATTTAGAGGGTAAGTTAGTCAGGATGATATCTATGAGGGTACCCATGTTTACGGATTTAGGGTTGTACCTGGTAGGTTCGTTGATAATTTGCGTGAGATTGAGGGCATCTAGTTTGGATTGTAGGATGGCCGGGGTATTAAGCATATCCCAATTTAGGTCACCAAGCAGTACGAACTCTGAGGATAAATGGGGGGCAATCAATTCACATATGGTGTCCAGGGCACAGCTGGGGGCTGAGGGGGTTCTGTAGCAAGCAGCAACAGTGAGAGACTTATTTCTGGAAAGGTGGATTTTTAGAAGTAGAAGCTCAAATTGTTTGGGCACAGACCTGGATAGTATGATAGAGCTCTGCAGGCTATCTCTACAGTAGATTGCAACTCCACCCCCTTTGGCAGTTCTATCTAGACGGAAAATTTTATAGTTGGGGATGGACATTTCAG